GATACACACATAGCCAAATGAACAGAGACTGCAAAGTAGTGAATGCTCTCGTAAATGAATTCCCCACTGTCTGATCAGCTCTACACACATATCTGCTGCGGGCACAAAGGGGATGGATTCTGATCTCACACCAGTTTTATAGCAAACTGTATTATTTATAGTAAAGTCCATTGGAGCAATTCCCCAGTACGCTCTGACTCCTTTGCACTGCTCTGGTAAGCCAAGTTGTAAACACAACATAACTGGGCAGCTACAGAGTTGCTTTGTATCACCAGAGTGGCCCCAAAATCAACCAGAAACCATCCCATTAACTTTCAGTGGAGTTATTCATGATTTACCTTGATGCAAATGAGACTCAGGCACTAGGAATTGGACTTAGACGGGAAGCTCATTTCACAATGATCAAATATATTTTTCTTGACCAGATTGTCTGGGGAGCCCAGAGCCTGGCATATGTGCTTTTTCATTGCAGCTGTAGTGTAAAGACACATAAAGACATGGGCCCTGCCACAAAAAGTTTCCAGGGTAAGATTTGAACAGCTGACGTTTGAGGTGGGAGGTTCTGTGCCCCACATCCTTAAAGCTATTTAGGTTCCCAACTCCCATTGACATTAATGGGAGTTAGGTGCTAAATACCTTTCAGGATCTGGGCCTCTATCACCATTAGCATTCCCTGATCCATTTAGCTGACATGAAGACAGTGCTCAAGAAAGTTGCAAGATTAAAGGCCTCTCCCTAGTCTTCAGCAATGCAGGGCTCCACAGAGATTTACCGACGTGCCGAACTCAGGAAGGAACAGGCTGAGCTATATTGGAGCTGAGACATTTTTTTCTCCCTGTCCTTTCTTTAGTTTGAGAGAGAGTTTGAGAAACTAGCTGAGAGGCTCCTGGCACATTACAAGTGACGCACAGGCAGCAATTTAGCATGTGGCGTATAATGGTATTTAAGTTATGCCAGACCCCTTACTGAAATAGACGTCTGTGCCATTTGCTGAGGACTCTGCTTTGTGTAAGCTGCATGGGTCACCCTGGGAAATGTAAAACAGGCTGGTAACTAAACCCTTTCAGAAATCGTTAGGGTGCTCAAGGGACTGTTTCACAGTCAGTCTGGCTAGAAAAGGTCCGTGTCAATTATTAGTCGAGCTCTGACACTGCACAACCAGAGCAAAACTGACAGGAGCAGACTCTGTTTGCCAGACCTGCTGCTTTTGTAATGATAAATGTCCCTGGTCAGGGCCCTTCCCTTAGCACATCAGTTGCTGCTGCTTCCTGAAAGCTAATTCTGCCAGACAAGTGGTTGTACATTGACATCTTACATTTGGGGGACTTAGAAATCACCTCACCTCACAGGACAAAATCATCACTACTGGTTACATCAAATCTATAACTGAAAATACAGCAGGAGAGAGCTGGGCAACAGGCTGGCCATTTGCGTGTACAGTTTGGAAACTGGGTGCCCATAGCTAGGCACCCACACCCATAGTGAGGCACCTAACGAAGTGCCCTGTTTTTCATGGGGCGCTGATCTTCCTTTAGTAGGGTTACCATACGTCCGGTTTTTCCTGGACATGTCCGGCTTTTTGGCAATCAAACCCCCGTCCGGGGGGAATTGCCAAAAAGCCGAACATGTCCAGGAAAATGCCAGCCGGGCACTTCCCCTCCCGCGGCTGCTCTGCTCCTTCCCTGACTCTTCGGCTCTGTTTAAGAGCCGAGCTGCCCGAGCGCTATGGGCTTCAGGCAGCCCCCTTGCCTCCGGACCCCAGTGGCCGGCC